AAGGAGGAAATGTGGGTCCCTGTAGCCAAGCATGCCCTCGCACCCTCCCTCCCCCACGGCAGCCCCATTAGACATCTCTGTTGCCCCCTGGGAAACAAAGGGAGCCCAGTGTCCGGTTAGGGAGCCGGAGCCCCACAGACGGTCCCAGCAGGAGAAGACATTCGGGCAGAGCATTTGCATCCATCACTCCTATTCCTTCCACTGAAAATCTACGCGTAGATGTTGTCCAAGGTGGGCGCCATTGTTCAACATCAGCGATGATGTCGTGACTCCCACCTCTGGAGGAAGAGAGTGGCTCACTCAGAGGGCGTCAGGGCCCGTTCCGGGTTGTTTCCCAAGCGGCACCTGTTATGCTAATGCGTGGCGGACTCAGTAAGTGACATTCCTCCCCCGAGAAGCCAGATCTTCCCCCAAACAATTCTCACTGGACAGTTACCTGGCTGCCTGGCATTTGTTATTCTCCTTTTACATGTTACCCCCCGCGCCCCAACAAACATAAACTGCTTGAAGCCAGTGACGGTGCTTCACGCCTTCTTTTTCTATCCCCCGTGGCGCATGCTCACTGTCACTGAGTAGCACGGCGAAGCAGGAGGGTTTGAGTTCCGGAGCCAGACAGAATGGAGTTCAAGTCCCTGCCCTGTCCCTTGCCGGCAGGTGAGCTTGGGTCAGGGGCCTGTTCCCCCTGAACCCGGTGTTGCGTCTCTCTCACTCAGAGGTGACAGTTCACACCTCAAGTATTGTAGGTGGTTCTGAAATATCGCACGTGAGGACTTGCTCAGAGCCTGGCACGTGGTGAAACTCAGTACCCGCCAGCTGTCATCCTCGCTGTCACCACCACTACAACTACTGGTTTGATCTGCACCAGAAGTCGATCCTAATCTCTACGTATTTCCCTGTGGCTTGTCAGTTTCTAGTTAGCCTGGTTTCGATTAATCAGTGCGTTATAGTAGCTCAAAGAGTTGAAATTTTTAAAGGCACGAGCCTTCAGGTATGCACAGGGACACCTGGAGGTCTTCATAGTTCCCGAGAACGTGGTGCGGAGGCAGCAGGATTTCAATGAGTCGTTGGCGTCTGAGGTCCTAGCTTATCCAACAGTTCCTTAGGAGCCTCTCCCCCTCCCTGACCTCCACCCTCGTCCCAAGAGAAAGATATCATTCCAACCTCTATGTCTTCCTCTACTTTCTTCTGCTCAGATGGACAACTCCATTGCACTTACTCAAATGCATGGCTTCTTCCTTTCTCATCTCTCTCTCTCTATCTCACTCGTGCGCGTGCACACACACACACACACACACACTCACACATCTGAGTTAGCTGTCCTTCTCTGAGTTCCCACAGCACCCAATGATACATCCCCGGCACATCATTAATCACCCGGCATTATAATTACCTCTTATACATCCTAACCCAAACATGCACACTATAGATTATCAAATTTTTAAAAGCAGATCTCATTTGTTACAAGAGCACGGTAGCAAGGGTTCATAAATGTTGGCCAAATGAATGAAAGTGCAATGTAACTGACATCGAGGGTGTGCTTGCTATGTGTCAGGAGCTGTTCTAGGAGCTTTGGGCGCCTCAGTTCATGCTCACAGCAATCCCACGAGGGGGCAATGATTGGCTAATGGGATGGCCTAGCTCACCATTCTGGCTGCCATTTTCATTCTTTATGAGAAACCAACCAGTGATAGCAACAGGGATGTGTCTTGACCCTTCAATTACACCAGGACTCTCCTCTCTTTCCCGTCCCTTGTTGGTTGGAGGCTAATTCCTTTTCACTTGGTATTGAAAACGTGTTCGGTTTCGGCAGAGAGGGGAGACTTACCTGTGATGGGGGATCTGAGGCGTTAACGGCCCGGAGGGCCCCTGAGTTGTGGGAACTCTGTATCTTCTTGGGGGCTGATGTCTTGGTCATCTTGGAAATCCTTCAGGCTTAGCCTGTGTCCCCAAGGGGAGAGATTTTCCAGAATCTTCTACCTCAGCAGACCGGTGGTGTCAGAAGCTCCAGCAATTTCACCCTCTCA